ACACACACAACTTGGGCCTCCTGACTTCGAACTGCATACCACGTTCCCGAATTGTTGAATACCTGTTCCTCAGCGCCTGCACACCGAGTTCATTCTCGAAGGCTCGCAGAGGAGAGTCCACATAGTTCGCCCAGTCGCCCCAGGCCGAGCCTAGATCGCGTGGCGCTCCGATTTGAACCGTCATACTCCAAACCGTTCGGAACGCGTGGCTTCTTGCGCAAAGGAGTACTGTTGTAACCAAGGCTCCTGTGAGTCCATCCTGGAAAAACATGCCAATGATGGCCATCATGGCCAGGCGACCATTTGCAAGCTCGGCATTGAGCTTCTTCTGACGAAGCTCAGGATCGCTGATGGCCTGACACACGGATCCACACGCGGCAAACGACATGCTTTTCACCAGGAAGCAACAATCAAAACAAACAAGCACGTACCTGCATAGGCTCATCGCACGTGCAAGTCCACGCAGAATCAGTGGACAAAAACCCCGACAGAAACACGCAGAAAGACATACAGGGCCGTGAGTCAACGGGGACATCCCCAAATCCATGTCTAGAACCAAGCCGGCTTGCTTGTGCACACGGTACTACTGTTACAGGCGTTTGGACCATGGCCTCCGAACAGAAACGATTCAACCTTTGCTGTAAACTGATGCAGGAAGGTTCAGAACATCTCAAAACCGAGAACTTGCAGCTGCCTGGCCGCCCAAATAAGTGGGGATGCCCAGGAAGCCGTACCTATGCAGATCCGCCCTTTGACAAGAACCAGTTCATCTCTTTCTTTCGCCAGGGCTGTGGGCCAGGAGGTTGCCCCCCTAGCCTCTCTCTCTCTCTCTCTCTCTCTCTCTATGTCCCTCTGCCATCACAATAGAGAGTGTGCCTATCTGTGTACAGATTACGGAGCAAGTGTTTCCAAGACAAGCAAACCAGCCACGATGCTCGTAATTCAACGCTTCATCGCCGAAGAGGCGGGTGGTCAGCTTGCCCGGAGGGTTGCTTGCTACCTCAGGGAGCTGTTTCTGTTTCAGAAACGACTCGGGCACCCACAATTTGTGAGGCACCTCACTATAGACCATAGTCGCTCGTCACTTTTGTTGGCACACGCCTAGCCAGAAGCGAAATTCCAAGTCTTGCCCAGGCCTGATGGCACAACCAAAGGTCGCAGATGCCACAGAAGACGGTATATTGGAACCATCCGACTGCGGGGACCTTAAGCGGACCGCGCTGCCGCAGTCCTCAATTTAAACTTGCATGATTGCAAGACACCGCAAAGACGCTGCCTTCGTCACCGCTGCCAAACCATTGGGCACGTCGGAGAACTTGAGATCTGTGGATGGAGAAAGGAATCCTACAAGGGAGCATCCGCCAAACTCGGAGTCTTTGCTGCACATCGCTGCGAAGAGTAGCTCCTGGGAATCTGAAGAACTCCTGCACGATGTACCCAGTGCAGGCCTGGTTCTCCACAACCAATGCGGATGCCCGCAATGAAGACAACTCAGTCTCCTTGCATCTAAGTGACGAGCATGGACACGCGACCGTGCTTGAGCTCAACGACACGGCGGCGCCTGAATTCCTCAGACTTGGACAGATTCAGTTGATTCAGTACAGCGGGTTATGTAATGCTGAAGAGAGGAAGGCAACATGGGAAAATCTACGGAGGCAATCGGAGGCAGAGGAGGAGGAATATCGACTCCCTCCACAGCCTCTACATCCAAAGCCAAAGCATGCCAGAGCACGATTGCATCACCGGCAGAGGTAAACCCTGCCAGCAGCCGAGATTGATAAGAAGCATGACTCACAAGGCACAGCTGGCAACGAATAATCAGGCCTGCTGGATCCCAGAAACCCACGGGAGCTTGCACGCCAAGCTCTTTTTCCTGTGCCAAACAGTCTACATAATCCTTCTCCATGAAGACAACGGAGCAACACATTGCTGGCCCTAGCGCATGACCGAACGGGTAGCAATAAGCTCACTCCGACTCTCTCTAAGTCTTCCCGGTTGTCTTCGGCACAGGGAGATTTACCGGTAATTGACTGTCCACCGGTACCAGTACCTAATTACAGAAATGCTGTGCGAATCCCGCCGTCTCTACGTGAACCTGTTCCTGCCAGAGTCTCTTTGACAAGCACTGCCCTAGCTGCTTTGCTGCAAGCAGGGGGCGAAAGCACGCACCACCACCGTGCTGCGCGTGGTTGGGCGCTGACTCTTTACAGCTAGGGCGCCCAAGGCGACGCCTGTGGGCACACGAGGGTCGTCTTCCCAGAAATGCCAATAATGAGCATGGAATCGCAGAGTGGACAGCGACATAGACAAGCTGATGACAAACTCATGACACGCATCTCGATCCTGCATGATGACTCTGTTTCTGAACGGTATCTCAACTCAAGAAACGATCTCAATCGATTTCCGATCGGAAGTTGTCCAGAGAGGCCTGCACCGGCTCCCAGCACGGTGGTCGACGAGAAGCCCTTCGTTCGGGACACGTCATTTCACGTCCCAACATCTCTGGCCCCTGCTATCCCCTGCTACAGCTGGCCTGGGACTGTGCCTGGGCCCTGGCACCGCGCAGCGCTGGGGCGCTTGGCGCCTGCGACCCCCCGAAAAAGAACGTTGTGGGCCCCACTTACGCTCTGCAGAGATTTCGCCGCACCTTTCCGGCTGGGGTCACAAAAGCGGTGGAGGCGGCAGCCTTGCAGTGGCAGGGTAGCTCTGCAGCAGGCAGGTGCTCACAAACTGCGAGCTCTTTCAATCGAGGCTCGGCCAACCCGAGGGCAACGACCTCAGCAACAGAGGAAGACAAGCACGTACCGGTACCGGCTCCTCTTTACATGTCAAAAAAAGAGGCCAGCTGATCCGGCAAGAAGTTTCCTAATATGCAACAGCTTTGCCTCGGAGGCCTTTGCAAGGCTGTAGCACCGGACCAGTCAGCTCATACAAACACAATCTTGCAGATTTGAGGTACTAGTAAGCGTTCACAGTTTGGTCATGACGCTGTCAGTTATTGCACTCCGAAGCGAAACCTCCAAAGCTCGAAGGTCCTTGCTACAAGCCTCCTCTCACAGGTGGCTATCTTGTCATGAACAGCTTCAACTCTTCATGCGATGCCTCATGTCGAATCATCAGTTTAAACATCATCTCCAAGTGGCTTCTTTGTTCGGGGCCATGTGCAGAGATAATTAAGTGAAACGGGTGGAGCCTGGGATAATAAAAAGAAGTCCTCTGTGCCAAAATGGCTACGGACTGGACATCGCAGTCACAAAGTGCTCACGCGGCTACCTGACATCTGACATCAAGAAACTAATCGCTCCGGCGGAATGATCGCCCGATGAGAACCACATGAAGGGAAGGAATGCTGATCTGCTTCAGAACCAGTCAAACAGGCAATTTGAAAAAACCTGCTTCTCACATACCTGCCGAGATGCGTCTCAATCGTAGGCTTCCACCCGTATTTGTGTGAAGTGCAGTTGGGCTTGGCCTCAGCCATGTCTTTGTAGACGCTTAACAGATCCTGTCAAACACAACTTCAAGCACAAACTCACGACTGTCAAGTCGAGGCACATATCGCTGCTGAGGCAACAGCCTGCACGACAATAGAGCGAGTGTCTCTGAAGAAGCAGGACCGCTTCTTAGAAATTGCCGAGCCAGTACACGCACAGGGTATCTCCAAACTGCCGCGCACTGCCTGTGGCGGTGCATCAGCCGATGGCGGTCGTTGATGAACTCTATGTCCTGGAATAAGGGTAGCAATAATAGTGCCTCTGCGAAAATGCCACAACCTGCGAGGTCCTCCTCGGGTCGTGGAGGTGGCCAGCTCGCAGCAGCCTTGCTCCCGGAGTTCAGAACCTCACTCGAGTTTTTGGTTTAGACTGAGACATCCAGAGAACAACCCCAGCCTCCTGTCCCGCGCTTTGCAGGGATGGCGTCGAGGCCGCTTTCTTCAGGGCCTCGGCCTGAGCGGCCTCCCAGAGCTCCAGGACACCAGTAGCTACTGTCTATCCATGTGCACCCTTCACCGCGGTATTGAAAGTTATGATTAGTTTGCGAAGGAGTGATTTTGCTTGGTCTCACATAGAATCCGAGCAAGACTGGTCTGGACACCTGTAGCGACTGCAAAGCGACGACACGTCTAGATGCATACAGGCATGTCATGTCAGACATGTAGAAAGAATTAGAAAGATACTTGGCTAAAGGGACAGAGTAGACACATTTCGCACTCTGCACGAATGACATGAAAACATGTCTTGACCACCTACAGATGCATAGAAGCAGTGCTACACACGCGGAACCTGAAAAAGTACATGGCATATGCAGTTGCATGTTTACCTGTAACATTTACCTGTAACGGACTGATTCATGACCAGCTGCAAACCGGTATGCAGGGCATAGGGTGGACGTACTGATGCATCTGAAAACATGCTCATTTTTGAACAAAGGCCTGCATTCACTTGTGTATACATTTGCAATGACCTTGTCATAGTGCACGTTCTCGATCGTCTAGCCCTGTCTACCCTGTAAATGAACGTATGGCTCGAAATTCGTGCAGTATTGCCAAGCGCGACTTCTAGCATGTTCTCGCCTCCTTTCGCATCTCAGAGCGAAGTCTGCGTTTTGGAGCCTCCGGCAGCTGTTCGCATACTGGGCATGCAAAACCTGTTCGCAAGAGGCCTTGAAGAAGCCCCACCGCGGTTCCCACTCGCGCTGTAACCTTGCTTCAAGACTTCACTTCAACAGGAGTCCCGAGTCATGCTTTTAACCGTTCAAATTGCGGGAGTACGCAAGATGCAAGTCATCCACTGCAGAATTCGTCGAGGTTTAAGGGGTGGTGCACTGCAGCGTGACTGCACGGTTGCATTGCCCACTTGTTGCAGCTGGAGCACTTGTACTCCTCAGTTCTCCGGCTCAACCGCAACACGATGAGCTAAAGACATTCAAAGCGTGCTGATCCGTCTCCCATGCTCGAACACATGGAGTTGACTGATTGCTTGTGGAGTCTGAGAAGTTGTAGCAGATGCAGTCAGCTAATTGCCACCACGCGACCATTGTGAGCAAAGTTCGGTAGTTCCTTTGTTCTACGCTCCAGGCTGCCGGACACAGAACAGGCAACACAAAGCGTGAGCCATCGTGCAACTGGGGCATGCGCAGAACAGAAATGTAGCAGCAATCCGAACAGGAAACGTTTCCAACTAAGTTAGCGTTGCGGCTGCAGTGTGCCACAAGCAGCTAAAATTACTTGCAGGTCCAACACAGCAGCTATATCTGCAGTGACGTGGTGGGTCTGAGCCAAGGATCTCAATTGCATCTTTCGTGTCAAGCCCCTTTCGGCCAGCCATGGCTCTTGTAGAAAGGCCTGAGCCTGGAGGCCAGCAACCTAGGCGAGCCTGTTCAATGGTTTGATGCGCTTTCATCTTTACTGAGGAGGCTCGCAAACAGCTTCACCCCTCGTTCGAGCCAGCTGGCAATGCAAGAAGCGGTCGTGCTCAACATGTCACCAGCCCACTCAGATCAGCTTCTGCATTCCCACAGCTTGTGCCGACAAGCCTGCACTTTGACCTTCCCTTTACCAGACCGTGGCTGACTGGTGCATGACGTCATCGCGTCAGGTACCGGCACGACACACTTCTCACCACTTCTCTTTAAGCTTCTCCAAGGTGCGACCAAGAAGAAGCCTGAACAAGGCAAAGCAGTTGCGAGCGGTGCGCCCAGCCATGCTACTGTAGGTACTGTCACAGTACGTAATAGTACGTAGAAGCATACCAAAAGCCCCACCGCACGAGCCCGAAGCCGAAACACCAAAGGAAACATCGAGGCCTGCAGGCTCCAGGCGAGCCAGGCCAACACTTCGTGCAGTTCACCATGGCCGGAAAGCAAAAGTCAACAAGGGGCACAATTCCGGGGCTTGCTACTGCTAAACCCTAAATTCACCCTAAACCCTAGACCCCAAAAGGAATCCTTCTAGAACCAGTACCAGATGATCCAGACTTTTGATTCCTTAAGTGAAAGCGGGCTTCTGCCTCTGACCCTCATTCCGGCGTACCTTTGTTCCTGTCATCCGAGGTTTTATGAGGAATCCACTGAAACAACTTGCAATGACGGCTTCGGGTATGTGGGTTTCGGTTTTGGGGTTTGCTTAATTTGGGCTTATTCTCCAAGTTATTTGTCCTGTGAGTTTCTTGTGGGTGTTGTTTTGTCTTCGTTTTCTAGCGCGCATGAGTATTGGTCTTCGCTGCCTTACCCCAGCAAGTGACAACTGCCTTCTGCTGTGCTGAAAGCCGGTGTCAGCCACGTGGCAACTTCAACAACTGTTTAGAGCCTTTAAGAGACACACCTTACCTCCATCCCACTTTCATCCCAGGTGGAGCAGCTGTCACTGCCCACTTTGCAATCGATGTTCGACCCTCAGAAACAGACAGAGAACAACCAAACTGCACCCTATCCTTCGCCCCGCCTCCACTTGGCTGTAGACGAACGTGTACAAATTAAGCTGCGCAGCAGGGACAGGGCTCAGACTTCTGACTCGCTGGTGGAATATGCATATGCTCAACTGACTATCCTACTGGTAGTGACGGGCTGCGGCGCTGCCACTGAACGCAGCCGCAGGTGTTCGGGGGTAATCAATCAGGCGCATTCAAAGTGCCAACATCACAAGAGACCCTGGCCTGGTCGCAAGCAACAAAGACCGTCGAATCCTGGCTTTGGAGGCCCGAAACAACAGCAGCACACTAGGGAGCCGCTAGTGACCGCCCGTGAGCGAGAGTCATGTTCTGCGAAGCCGAGCGTCCGAACTGTCCCACAGGATTCGATCAGCGGTGTTGGGGAAGTCCGCAATGGGAATACAATCATCGTTGACCTCCACTGCACGTCTATGTTTCAACCAATGTAGCGATCCCACATCGGAAAAATATCTGTGCCAAAGTCTATGAATCAGCGCACCCGGTACTGTACAGGTCAGGCACTCTGGGGCGAGCACCGGATTGTACCTTGCAGATGGCCAAGCTTCATCTATGCGTTCTCCCTGCAGTCGTAACTTCTCAGGTCGAGTGTGATCCAAGCTGCAGCCAGGCGTTGCCGGAGTTGTCAATCAAGGCAACCTGCAGTGACATGGTGTGGGGGTTGGGGACACAGCCGTGAACCTCTGGATTGGAATCTGCGAACTCGGAAATGCCCCTTATTGGGTAGACCCTGAGCCTGCTCCTTTCCTTTACAGATCACTTGAATTGCGAACTTGCATCTAAGCGAGTTGAGCCTGCCCTGAGCCCTGCAAGCGCTCTGCATCGTCCTTCCAAGAAATTCCCTTCAGGGGAGGCTGTCACCGCAACGCAGGGTTGTTTGACGAACTCTAACCGCTGGGGGTGGATCTTTGATATCCGAACGTCTTTCAGGAACAGTGGCAGCAGAGCTTACTCGATCATGCCAGGAAATCCAGGACGGTGACAGGAGTATTTGTTGCTCTGTCGCCCAGTGCCCAGTACCGCTCGTAGTCACAGCTCAGGGAGTAATTTAAGCCGTTGCGCTGCTGGTAGCCCTTCTCTCCTTCCTTTGGGGTGCGGCTACAGTACTTGCCCGCTTTGGCCTCGCCCTTCTCCTTATGCCTGCTGGACTTGGGGGAAGCAAAGTGGGCAGTTCGTCGATCGGGTTGGGCGGAGCGAGCTCCGCGGCAAGTCTGTCCGCGAGGGTTGCTAAGGAACAGATGCGGGCGGCAGGATTGAACCGATGGGCATGGTATTTGTGGGAGTGGCGACTGGTGTGAAGCTACCAGTAGGCATAACGGCACAGACATGGGTGGCAACTCCAAAGGCTTCGTCATGGCTGCTGGGCAAGACAGTGCAGTTCAACTGAACAGTCTGCACGGCAGCCCTGGCGCGGGCTTGAGCTCTGGCGTGGGACTGAGCCAAATGCCACGACTCTGCCAGTTGACATTTGGGAGTGGGATTTCGAGTGGCAGACATCAGGGTGAGACTGGCAAATTCGTCTGAGGTCGGAGCCCGAGTTCCCTCATGATTGGGATAGCACCTTAATTTGCTTCAAGGCGCTCACTGTTATCGCAGAACTCCGGCCGGCCGATGGCTGTGCCCCTCTCGCCCTGTGAAGACTGAGGAAAAGGCTTACGAATTCCGTTCGAGTGCTTGTACTCATTGACCTGAACGGAGACAGTGGGTCACAGTGGCCCGTCTCCAAAACGTGCAAAGACACACAACTAAGTCACGTTTCGCTGGAGAAGCCATGTCAAGCACTTGCGCACGAGGCAAGAGATGCAGACTCAGACTGGGAAGGAATGCGCATGTGCGCATTCTGTAACCAACTCCTGTGTGGCGCCTCCTGGCCATCTACCAGGGAATAGTACCTCAACAGCTGAACCAACCATCCAATATCAGCATGCATATTCATTGTCTCACGCTTGCGGGGCGGAGCGCTCTCCACTACTTATCCTCCAAGGTCAGGACCTTTCACACGGATGCGACCAAGGCACTGCAAACGACCGTTGGAGTGAGCGTAGATCAGAAAGTTGCCCACAATGGAGGCACAAGTCACACTACGGTCATCCTCCTGTGAGCGCAGGCTGCGGTCATGATCTTGACTAGACCTGACTGACACGACTACTCCGAGGTGACAAGCGGATCCACTGCTGATCTATCACCTCTACTAGCAGTTGACCACACCACTCTAGCCAGCTGCTTATTTATGTTCCTTTCTTGGGAAGATGGTTGTCTTCCCGTCACCGCTGCGGGGCTCGATCTGGTGCAGGTACCTGGAGACCATCAAAGTTTCTGCCGCGTGTGGCCCATAAGGACGGTCGTGCTTCTGCAAGCAACCGATTGCACTTGCACAGTTTTTCCGCCACACATGCTCCAGATCAAATGATCGGCTACTTGCAACTACAAGTTCTTCGTCTGCAAGTCAAACTCTCAGTGAGACATTGATACATCAAACTCGCTAGATGCCAATCACGACCGGAGATGACAGATTCTTCAAAGCCTTCAGGACCTCGGTTTGTCACTGCCAGACTGAAACATGTCAGGTAAAGCTCGACTGGAAAATGTCAAGGAAGAGCTCAGATTCTCATCAGCCGAGATGCAGAGAAGGGCACGACTCGCGAAGTTCTTTGACTAAGCGGTGTCCCTTTCACCTGCGCAGAGGTGGAGTTTCACGGACGTTGTTCCAACGAGTCTACTTCAATTGCTCTGTCTTTTCATGGCAGCAAAGCTCAAGGCGCAGCACCTCTAGGTTTATCTGGCCACAGCCGCCCCGCAGCATCACACGATTTGTTGGACCGGACCTCACATGACGAATCAATCTTCGCAGAGCTATATTCATCCGCTTGTCCTGCTGCTTTCATAGGCTTCCGGCACTGCAGGATCGGCAACCAATCGGACGTTCAGCCTCTTGCAAGTGTGGGATTCAGGTCTGGAGTGCTGCTTGGGCTGGAGGGTGCAGTCGGCAGAAGATTATCAGACAGGCTTCAAAACATCACAAAGCCTTAGATGTGTCATGCACGCAACAAGGGACTATATACTATAGTATAAGATATTATAATGTACTATCATATACTATAAACATGCACCACTTCAACACCGAATGGCTCCTCATGTAGCAGAAACTGGTCTTCAGTGGCTGCTCTCTCTGCCAACTTCTTGAGGCTCGGGATAGTGTAGTATAGCAAAGACTTAATATAGAATAGTATACTATTACATGGTTTCCCATTGGATAGTATAATATGTATGGTATGGTATAATGTAAGTATGGGTGTGGCTCCCCTTCTCCAGGCTGGAACCTCTTACCCTTTCAGCGGAAGCCATCGTTGGGGCCTGTCCAAACCAACTGTTGCAAGCGCCAGTGCCGCGGCAATGTTGGCATTCTTTGGGAACTGGCTTGCAGCCTCATGGCAGAATAGGCAGTGGCTTCCAAATTGAACCCCAAGGCTCGGAGGGACCTGATCCGCAGCCAGGGACTTGGAACACATCTCCAACAACCAGAGATGGAGTGCGAAGTGCACCACAGAGAAGGTCGAGTTGAATCACATAGTGTGCATGCATCGAACCTGGCAAGAATCATGCTGTCACTGTCAGAATGCTTGGTTTCCGGCTTCTCGCGCGGGTCCTGAAGCTGATGCAGCACTGCATGTGAAGGAAAAATGTTTCTTAACCTACGATGTTAAGCTGGTGCACCCTGATTGCGCGGCAATTGTTACGTCGCCTGTCTATTTTCGCAAAGAAGTGTTGCAACTGATTCTCAACAATTGGTTCTCTTCCATCGTTGTGGTACCGAAACATGAATGTAGGGAAACCACAGGTTGAAGTACACAGCAGGGGGTCACAGTAGAAGAAAGCCGGGGCTAGAGAGTGGATTAAAGTAGAGATCCAAACGTTGAAGTAAAGACATCTTGATGGGGCAATCGCTTACAATCGTTGTTACAAGAATGAGTCTCACAGCAGCAAGAAATCAACCGTTGTCGAACCACATGTGACATTGATTGAAACATTGTTGCACTCAAAGAATGCCAAGAGGATCCAAAGTGCCTTAAAATGTTTTCACCAGAGACTTGTCACCGAGGCTTCCGAAAACTCCAAGAACTGGACATCAAGAACATGATGACAATGATGATGCCGCCTATATGCTGGGTGCTCTTGGCGGTGCACAAATACACAGCTGGAACAAGCCTTCACGGGCCTTCAAAGACCACGGCGGCTGTCTGCAGACTGTCCAAGTCCACGCTGCTCTCAGCTGGGGTGCCACGCCAGCCCTCCACAGCAAAGGGCCCGAACGACCGCGGGTTGGGGATTGTGCTTAACATGGCACCAGCCAGCACGCATCTACTACTGTAAGGTCTTTGTGAAGTGGTCACGCTGATCTTTCAGTTGCATTGCCGCTGTCTCTGATGCGGCCGAGCCTCTGCTTGCTCTTGTTGATGTTATTGTAGCCACTGCTGCTTCTGTATCCCTTGCTTGTGTTGATACTGCTTTCATCTTTCACCAAAGTCGCATGACCATCATGATGATGATGGTGGTGAGGACGGCGGTGACTGTGCTGACAGGGTGGAGAATGATAATGATGATGACGAAGATGATGATCTTGGCGAGGTGGCGGTGGTGTCTGTGGCATGGCTGGCTCTCAGTTGAACTTCCTGCCATGCTGTCAGGCTTTGGCCTCTGGTCGCTTCCGCTGCTCGATGGTCACCTTGTCAGATTTATCTGCAGCTCTGCATGGGGTGGAAAAATGCGCCGGACATGCGCAGACCCTGGTCCAAAGTCTTGCAGCCGGTGGATAAGGAAAGCACATCCTATCTGTAAAACCTAAGACCAGGACCCCGAACCAACATGGTTTCAGGACGTCTCCGCATCCCTCCGAATTCTGTTGGTTGCCCGTCCTCGTCCACCTCGTCCAGTGCTGCACTGGACATCCAATCCATGCCTCGCAAAATGTTCGGAAACACCTCGCAACCTTTTGGAGCAACGAGTTCTTTCGTCCCCTTCTGTTTCAGGAGCTTGCATGCTTCTCGGGAAATATAAACATCAATTGGCATGTTTTGAGGGCACGAGAAGGGAATTGTATTTCAGCCTGCCCTACAACGCAATGGTCCGCTGTTCGAAGCAAACAGCAGGTCGTTCGTCGATCGCGAGTTCGGGGGAGGCTTTGTCACCCCACACCTCTCGTGCACAAGCAGCAGGTCGGTTGGTCGACGAACTGGAGACGCTACAGGAAACCTTTAACAACACATCGTCCTTCCGGAAAGTAGCAGCAGCACTGACTTTGTCAGGTGCAGAGGACGCGCGGGTGACACAACTTGCTGAGATCTACGCCGTCTCTCAGTACCAATACGAATCGTAGCAGTCGTAGCTCCAGAAATTATTGAAGCCGTTGCGACGCTTACTGCCCTTGCCATTGCCTTTTGGCTGCTTGCCTGATTTACCCTTGCCCTTCCCCTTGCCCTTGTTGGGCTTGGGAAGCAAAGTGGGCAGTTCGGGCATCTGGCTGGCTGGAGCGAGCTCCTCTGACAAGTCTGCCCAGGAAGGTTGCGCAGGAGTCGATGTGGATAGTGGGATTGGAGTTGGGGGGCATGCCCGCGTGGGAGTCGCAACAGTGCACTGGATTGGGGATGGCTGTGCATATGAAGCCGGGGGCGGCTGCGGGAAAAGCTGGTGGATGTGAAGTGGCAGCAGGGCCGGGCAAATGGGTGGTTGATGTGTGAATCCTGTGGGTGTAAGGTAATACGGTGTGGGGTTGACAGGATATGTGGACTGGTGCGATGGCCACTGGCAGGGTTGAGCCCAAGTATTGTGGTAATTCTGCTGCAGCTGTGCTAGCTGGCATGGAGCGAAAACGTGGACAAACTGCAGCCACCACTCTGGTGGTGGTGCGAGGCCACCCTGGTAGCCGGGGCCATACGTGGCTTGCTCGCCCATAAAGGCAGGCGCCAACCGAACTGTCTGCACGCTAGCCATGACTGAGCTTGTGGCTTGAGCTCTACCGTTCGACGCTGAGCCAAACAAAGCAAAAGACAGCCCTGTCTCTGCAAAGCGGGGTCATGCTTGGTGCAATATCGTCCGATTCGGGCTGGCTGGCTTGCTCCAAATCCCTCTGATCTCCGACCCGTGTGCTCTGTGGGTCTGGAACCGCAAGCCCTCTTGAAAGTGTCGATCTGGCTGGAAAGCTATTATATTGCCCCTGAGAGTGAATGCAGGCCACCGCGGACGCCTGGCATTGCGCCAGCGGGCAGCAGCACCCGCGATCCGGACTTTGCAGCCATGGAGGTGAAGTCCTGGCTGAGTTTTGGTCCTTTCGGACATCAGAATGCACGGAATCCAACTCACACAAAAGATTGGCAGATAGCCTCCAACAGCTAGGTCGCAAGCTTTTACCTACTTTCCGCCTGTGTCGAGCAGCCAAAATGTCCTCCAGCAGCGCATCCTCTGTGAAGACGCCCACGGAGGTCACCAAGAGGTCCCGGCCCTTCAGCGCATGGAGCCGTCACGTCCACGAGACTTCATCATCTATCCACGTCAGTGCCGGCGAGTGAAACGGTGCCTCGGCTAGGACTCGTCTGCCGTTCTCTCGCACCTCTGAGGGAGCGAGTTGCTCAGCCAGCAAAGCCATGCCTAGTCGTGCTGCTTCCCGATCCCGAATTGCTGTTGTGGTGCTTGTTATTCAAGCACATGTTAAGTTCCTGCTTCGCTGACACTGACACTGTGGCCACCCGGTCTCCGGTGCTGCACGAGTCTATCAAGACTAGCATCCTGAAAGCGAGTAACCTGCGTTCGCTTCTCCAGCATTTGCTGCATTTCTGATCTTTCGTGATCTTGACTTCCGTTCTTGGAGCCTGGCCCAAGGCTGGCCAGCGGCCTCAACACACAGAGACCTGCACGGACCCCCGCACAACGGGAAGCACAGAAACAGGATGGAGATGATGGAAGGGAAGGGAGGGGAGGGAGGGATGCAGGTTGCCGTCAAGGCGCCAGTCAGAGCCGAGGAATGCCTCGGGTTTGCAGCTTTCATAAGATCTGGACCAAACGGCCACGCAGGCTGGGCGGAGGACTTCTCAATCACGGGGGATCTACCAAGCTGAGGTCCAGATACATGTTTGCTTGTAGACGGCCTCCACGTCTGTCGTCAGCAGCGCCTTACAACGTCATAGTATGTCTTGGGCAGCACTTTCTTCTAACCAGTACGAGTGGCCTGAGACCCCACTTCTGGTGGACGAGCATCACGCGGCCTGTCGCAGACAGCCGAGATTCTTCTAGTGGCAGCTGCCGCGAGATCAGTATCTGCCACGCCTCTGAGTGAGCACAGCTGCCAAGGCCGCTCCGGGCAGCGACCTGAACGTGTCGAAAGCTGGTCAAGAGCAGAGGATAGCCCGCTTAGAGATGATTTGCGGGCGTGATGCTGGCGCGGACCAGTCAGGGCCTCAGCGACGATCGTGCCGATGGAACCGAGGCCCACGAGGCCGACCTGGAGTTTGTCCTGGACTACGCAGGCGCAGTGCGTCTCTTTGGGCTTTCCGCAAGGACATCTCCAGAATGTGGCTCCTGACGGCGTCGCTTCGGCCCAGGCTCAGACTCAGTGCCTCAGGTCGGGCTTGGATTTCACTGTGAGGTGCATTCTGTGACTTGGCCGCTAAGGGCCTGAGAGAACGGCCCAACATCCTCGAAGGAGTGTTGAAGGGACTGCACTGCAGCTTCCAGATCTTCCAGCCTATGTCTGCGTGCATTTTCTTCTTCGCACCACCGGCACAACACCAGCCTTCCGTCAGTCGGGCTGGCAAACCGCCTTCGAAACTCCACGGGCAGGGCAGTGATGCCAAGAGCAGAGATTTTCAGTGCAGGTCAGTGCAGGGCTAGTCGGCCTCTCCGAGGCCTTGTGATCAAGCGAATGGCCATGGGCTGGAGACTATGAGCCGAAGTTCACAGGCTGGCGGCGTGCTCATGACGATTTTCCGGCGCAGATTTATCCAGAGAACGGGACGGTTCATTAAGCAAAGGAGCTAGGCGAGGTAGCCACACACAAACGATGCGGGTGCTGATGCTGATGATGATGATGATGATGACGATCACGATGACGTCGTGGTCGCAGCCGTCCACCATTTCGGCAGGATCAAACATCAACAATAATCTTCAAGTGGAATCATTGTTAAGCGTTTTGGTCGATCGTTGAGGGCTTGTCGGTCCCAGAGCTAACTGCGGTTTTTCATTTCGGGCTTGAGAGTGCAGAATGTTACAGTAGCAGCTTCCACCCCCCTAGATCTGCATACAAGACAGGCTGCAGGAGCAACGACCACGACCACGACCACCACCTCGACCACGACGGCGACCACGACCCCGACCACGACCACGACCACGACCACCACCACCACCGCCACGGCCACCGCCACCCCCACTGCCACCCCCACCCCCACCCCCACCGCCACTACCACCAAGAGCGGGAAGAAGAAGAAGAAGATGCCAAGCACAGGCAGACGATAATCGACAAAAACAGCAAACAACGACAGGGCACACACGGCCGTCGATCAAGACGCAAGCATGGGTTGCATTCAAGCTCACGCTCTCCACGCTGCCGATGTACTCCTCTACATCAGGGTCCATCAAAGGTGCATACAACAAGATGTCCCGACATCTCGCCTTCTGCGATAGAACAGCATGCGCTCGTTCTTAAGTAATTAACTCTCTGCGTCAGTGAAGTCCTGCTCGTTGACCTTCTCGACGGCTGCTTGATCCGTGCAGGAATAGAACCATATTCGGTTGTTCATTCCTGTCCTGGAGGCGGCGTTCACCAGAATTGCAGAATTGCACGCCTGTCGCTGTCAAGACTTGTGCCTTCTTCCAAGACTAAGTTCCACACGCTAAGTGAGAAGGACCCAGGGCCACAAAAGCAGGCTCCACGTCAGTTTGGAGGACCACCTTTGCCACTGCACACTCAGCCACGGGTCCCCGAGAAGACAGGTGAGCATCTCTCACACGCCTTTCTGCCGCTATGGCTGCCATATTTGAAAGCAACTGCGCTGTCAGCTCCCGTCTTGACAGCAGTAGTGAGTACGACTCCCCAAGCCCCAATCTCAGGCCTTGTTCTCCGTGTCAGCCGTTCCCTCAATGATTGTCATCTCTCTCAACGAAGTCAAATATGCCAGCCTTGGTCGACTACCACAGATGCGCCGAAGGGACCGAAAGGGCATCTGCTAATCCGTTGCTTTTTGCTCGACCGAGGTGCCGCGTATTACAGGTGGCCGAGAGCGCCGACAACTTGGCTAAGAAGCAGTAGACCTTGGAATGCTATGTTATGCAGCTGACACATGCAGCTTTACTTTTCGTGCCAGCATCCTTAGTGCAGTCTCCTGTGAGATACGGGCCACCCAAATCTGCCTTTATGTAAAGCTTGGTTTACCGTTCCATATTCTGTCCAGCCCCTCTACACTTGCAGATGGAGGATGCTGAAAGGCAAACAGACGATGTGTTGAGTGTAGTTCTGCCCAAGGCTGGCGAGCTGATGGAGAGGTGTCGCGACCTAACGGCACCCTCAGGCTTGCACCCAGCCAGTCTCTGTACAGAACGACAGCAGCCTCAACATGGCGCTCTGATGTCATAACTTCTGCAATCAGCGTGGGCATGCTCGGACACTGGTGAAGGCCGACTCAATCAAATCCTGCTATGCCTTGCCATGTCTTGTCAATGGATGCTGATATGAATGCTCACTTGGGGCGGTGCTCTCCGTCATCAGACCAGTGCATTTGCGTCACCTACGCTAAGCGCACATCACGAACATGTCTCCTCGAGACGTTGCCAGCAAACTCACAAAGACCGAATGATGGACTTGTGTGGGAAGCGAGATGCAGGAAGCTACGAGCTCTGCCGAACACAGAACAATCACCCTGCACCTTCGCCTCAGGGCGGATTTGTATCTTTTCGCCTCGAATCTCGGTCCAGTCCTGCGCAGTGTGCCGGAACCTTGGAATCTCTTTAGCCTTTTGGGGAGCTCTTGGGTCCGTCCTTCATGCTGATGAGCTTGATGCCATCATCCCCTGCGGAGGCAATCTTGCCGGCAGCCTTGCGCGATTCAGTGAGAAAAAACCGCCCACTCATTTTGGGCCACCAGTAAACTTTCGGATACCCTTCCAACATGGTTGCTTGCAGACCCACAACCCGAGGCCTTGCTGCAACAAAGGCAGTCGAGAGTGTTCCGGTGATATTTCACGGACGAGAGCTCCTGGCCAAGCCGGCAGTACATCTCATCTCAGCACCATGTTGTCGTGTTGAGTCTTTGAGAGGCAGTATGGCATGTGGCTTGCACTCTAGTTCTTTAACCTTCTTAAAGGCAGTCTTGCAACACCACCTGATGCCAATGAACAGGCAAGAGCACATAATGGACGGCCTCCGAGATTTCCCGCAGGCGCGAGCTAATGACTACCTGAGTTTGCATACCGTATCAAGACTCTTGCCTGCTTTCTGAGGGCCTCTCTTATTTCTTTACAAGTTGTAAAGAAATCAAAAAGGATTGTCGGGGTTGGCAGTTGGCCATGGAATCAGATAAGCGCTGCAGAGGCTCATAAGCTGTCTTCCTTCGCAAACATCTTCACTTCAACTCTAGGCGCGGGGCTATGTATCCTTGTGAGAAGCCAACCTCAGCTACAGGTCTGCACACGACTTGCTCAGAGATACTCAGGTGAGGCGACTTGGTGACTTAGTGCTGCCCTGAGCAGTCGACGCCGACTTTTCTAGAACCAAAGCACAGCAACAAACAGTCTTGGAACCCCCACCACCAGATAGCCATCTCCAATCCAGCTGTAGGCCTTGATTGTGCCGTACCTCAGCACAAAGCTCACTGTGCTACTACGAATGTTCCACGAGCATTGGATCGGGCGCACTTGGGTTGGAAAGCCAGCTCTGTTGGCTTCTGCGGATCTTTTAAGTTGCAGAGCAACAACGTCACCTGCCAACAGCACATGGCAGCACGATTTCAGTCCCATCGAGCCCTGAAACCTCGTGGCCAGCCTCCCCCAAGACGATGCTGACAACTCGTTCGCGTTCGGAATCTGAGTCATGCACCCGCTTTGGCGGCTAATGGCGGCCAGGGGATTAGCCACGTCCATTTGCTACGAATCCCCGGACCAGCAAACCAGGGCCTTTCGGGTCGTCAGACTTCACGTCTGCTATTTGCAGCATGCTGGGATCCTGGCACATTAGAATCATTAGCCATCTCGGCTACATTCGGCTTCGATCGTGCAGGCACTGTAGCACTGCCGTCATCCAAAACAGGTCGGGAGCTGCGTTTTTGATCCTCAAGGGCTCTGAGTCGCCGCCGCTTTCTAGGGGATCCCTCGAGTGCCAAAACACTCTGCAGCTCAGCTATGACAGAGTGTTTTGGCTCAGCTGTCCAAGGAAGAGTCGGCTGAGCCCCATGCCCCTCTTCGTTGCTCAGGCAGATTGTTTTGTCCTTGCTGGCAAGCCACGCTTGTTGTCTTCGACCCAAAAAAGACACGGCGAAAAGATGCTCCTCCGAGCCGGTCGCGAAGATGTTGTCGGAGTGCCAGCCCTGGCTTCACAGCGTGAGATGCGCTCACATTGATTGTCACGTGGTCCGAGGCCCGAGCTCCGCAACTAATTCGCTTGGAGTGCTTTCCCATAATCGTCTGCTTCTTCATGGTCCTCGAGCTAAGCGCGACGAACTTCTGTCGACGGGGGCTCCCATCGACCACCCTGACCCTCAGTCCCGTGTCCTCTTGTTGTAGATGATGAGGTTCCCTCGTGCAGTTCCGATGACTAGCTGCGGCCCGGTTTTGGACCACGAAAGCCAGGTCGGATCCTCCATACACAAGCTTGGAAGAGAGAGTATGCGGGGCAACAAGCTTGCCGATGTCCTTGGAGTTCATCTCGACCATGTCCAGCTTGTTTTCGGAGTGGCGCCACAACATCACCTGCTCTGCTCAGCCCCTCGCAGTCTTCAAACGCCCTTTGCCAGGCTTCCTCCTGTAACTGCAAAGGCTACTCTGCCCGAGGTTGCTTGAGCTCGCGGCTGTCTCTTCCTTTTGTTGGAGAATGGCCAGAATTTCACCATCCTCCGCATATATCAGAGCATCGGCTGCGCAAGTAGTGCTGTCCCGGGAACCCGAACAACAGAAGCTCTGGTGAGAAAATGGCTTCTTCTGTAATGAGCTTATCTGACAGGGTGTGATTTAAACGGCGATGGGCAGATGATGGTAGATGCATCGGTAAGAACCAGCGCGAACGCATGTAACATGGCACGCAGAAATCTTCCAATCGGAATCCACCAAATTCGGCACCCTACGTTTCTTGGCACATCTGAATGCATGGCTCGGGTGGCCTTGTCCCACTCAAGCTGCACCACCTGCAAACTGAGCAAGGTGCTCAATCAGGTTATCTCGTTCATCCCAGTCGCATTGGCCTTGGCTACTAAAGTGATCTTCGAAAGCTTGGAACTTCGGGCTCGGATGCATGACAGTACCCACAAGCAGGGGTCAACACATATTGGCACATTGGCAAGCAAGTTCGCATTTCAGCTCCCTTTCTTCCGCCATGGCACTCCTCACTTGACCCAAAAGACTGGCTGTGATCGTGTGCTGATCACATGCCTCAAGAACAGAGATGGCCGAATTGTAAGTGAGTACGTTAGCATGCAGGCGCCTGATCCGAATTTCACGCAAGAGCTCAAGTACATGTTGCCATTCGCCGCGAGAGCCAGACCTGGGCTCAGATATCTCGGAAGCTGCCGAAGCAGCAATTGCTGCAAAGGCTGAGTTGTAGGTGATCATGTTGGGCTGTAGTCTTTGCACAGGCATGTGACGAAGAAGGGACATGGCCAGTTCCCACTTCGCAGCGAGGGCACAGACACTGATCGTGGAGTTGTAAGAGATGACGTCTGGCACGGAACCAGCGATGTGGTGATTGTTACAGAGCTCTGATAACAAAGCAAGAGCCGCCGACCACTGGCCAGCCTTCTCGCAAGCGTTCAAAGAAGCATTGTATGCCACGACATCCGGTGGCATTTGCTCAGCACACTTTCCAAGCAGGAAGACTGCCTCCTGCCACTTCTTCCCTACTGCACAGGCGCTGATTGCGGCACTGAACGTAATGACACTCGGCTGCAATCTGCAGCCCTCAGCAGTTTCAAGCAAGTGAACCGCCTGCATCCACTCTCCTAGTCCCTCACAAGCACTGATAGTTGAGTTGTACGATATCGTTGTCGGCTGCGGCCTCAGCATCATAAGAACTGATAGCAGCAGTAGCGGATACTGCCAGTTTAATGACTTCGTGCATGCGCTGAGGCTGGTGTTGTAGCTGACGACATCAGGCTGTAGCTTCTTGGAGTCCAGGCCACATGTGAAGTAGACAGCCTCCTGCCATCTAGCTGCATCTGCGCAGCCCGCCAAGGCACTGTTGCAGGTCGTTACCGTTGCTTCCCGTCCATGTTCGATGTCCCAAATGAAGAGCCCGCTCTGCCATCTCGTCTGCTTTTGAGAGGCGCTGATGGCCACAGTGTGTGTGACTGCATCCGCAAGCTTTCGCCCCTCCAAGGCGCTCGGCAGGTCAGCCAGCAGCGATAGGGCACGCTGCCACTGCTCCAGTGTGTCGCAGGCTTTGATGGCACAGTTGTGAGAGACGATATCTGTCCTGGACGAAAACCCTCAACTGGTTCGCAAAAGCCGCGCGTGTGAGTACTCGTCCCGCCGATTCCTCCCTTTAAGCTAAAGCGAAATTGCCACCGCTTCTCTGTCTTTTCTCTTGCATATTTTGGCAGCCACGTCAAATTTGGCCGAAAGCAAACCCAACATGCGCAAGTGCCAATCGGCAACAGAAACCAACTAACAGGACCAAGTTGAGCTATTCACAAGCCCATGCTTAAATGCCTCCTTAGTCTTGTGTCCTGGTCTCTCTCAGCAGTGCGATGGGCTGTTCCCACAGAGAGGCGTTCCCACAGGCAGCCAGAAAAGCATTGCAGGTGATCGAATCTGGTCTCAAGCCTGCCTCGCGAAGGCCATGCATCCTGTGGAAAAGCTTCAAGGCTTAACCGCCCCTTCTCTCGCTCGCACCGAAGTGGCACTACTGCGATGTAGAAAACAGATTTCAATTCAACTTCTGCACACGTGTTCTCTGATAAAACGGCTGAACAGTGACAAGACGTGACAAGGTACCCCCGCAGAGCCCAACGCCACTCGGCTGCCTTTTCACAAGCAGTTGCCGCGGCATTCACTGCGATGAGGTTGGACTCCCTGCGAGGCAAGTTGTCGCCCAAAAAGATGGTGCCAAAACTAGAGGGCCCGAGAGTGGAGGGCCCCAAAAAGCCTTGAAGAAGCGCGTGTAGAAAAAACAAAAACTCCCAATGTGGGGCTGAGCATCACACCCTGCACCGGCATTTGTCGCAGAAGGCCAAGGGCGCCTCTCCAGTCTGCTATGCTGGCAATCACTGCCATGGCCGAGCCGTACACTACGACATCCATCTCCACATCGCCTCGCGCCTCACGGAACAACGCGAAACCTTCGCTCCACCTTTGGCACCTTCCACATGAGCTCATGGCTGAGCTGTAGGTGATCTTGTCCGGCTTCGTAGCAGCGAAGTACTCGATCGCCGACCTCCACTGCACGGACCTGTCGCATGCACTGATGCCCGAGTTGTATGTCACAAGGGTCGGCTGCAAGGACTCTGCTTGAATTCTCCTGAATACGCCCGCCGTCTGCTGCCACTGCCCAGCTCGTGCACATGTGCCGATCACAGCCGTGAAGGTAATGACATTGGCCTGCAGAGCGAAGCCTCGAAGTTCGCTTAGTAGCTCCAAAGCTTTCTTCCACCGCTGCCTTGAAATGGCGCTTGTGTACCCAACAAGTGACGGATGGCTCGCCTTCTCCGTCCTCATGCATGCTACGAACTGAAAGGAGGAAGGCACACTAAGGCTGCAGTCTACGCAGCAATTCTGGCTGGCATCGGACGGCTGCAGCACACAAACACTGAAGTCGCGGCTGCCACTCCCACACAACCGCAGGCAAGAGCACCGGGCCTTTGCTGTCGACTTCAGGGTTACTTCCTGCACTTGAGCCTCAGTGTCACTGTCCTGGCTCCATCAGGGACACAGCAAGTCGAAAGCTTCAAGCCGAGATCAGGGCACCCTGTCTGTCGAAGAGATGGATGTTCCTGCTCCAATAAACCAACAGAATTCGACGGTTCTGATATCCATGCAGTTGCCTTGAAAACTTCGCTGTATTTCGGACGGCGGGTCTCGTAGAACCGAGGGTAACTCCGAGTCGTCCCCCTTCAGGTCCTATCTTGGTAGTTGGTGATTATGGGATTAGAATGGGGCTCCCTGCAGAAACATCTTGGAATCTGTTGTGCTTCCTTCTCAGCTTCTGCAAAGTCTACTACCAGAAGACTTCGTCATCTCAGTTATTCAACTACTGCTGCTGTCCCTACCGTGGTTCCTGTCGTGGTTTTCGGAAGAAGAAGAAAGCTGCATGGCCTCTGGCCCTCGCCAATGGACGCCACGAAGTTGCCGTTTCTGGGCAGCACGGCAGGATCGCTCAGCTTGGTCCGCGACGCACTTCAAACATGTAGGACAAAAATCCTGAGGTGTAGGTGAAGCGGGATGTGCGCGATCTGGGGTACTGATGAATCGATGGAAGCACAATCTTATCCCCTCCCTTGCATCGCTCCATAACTGCGGACTTATGAATACTTATGAACTTTATGCTTTGCACAGACCCACGGCGTCAACCCACAAGTCAGCCTCCGGCTAGGAAAGGCCAAATAATTGTCACTTTGCACCAGATTCTTCAGTCCCTGGCGGCTGCCAGGCAAAAATGACGCTGCCTTGGCCTCAGATCGAAAATGTTCGTTTCTGCATGAGATGCCGGTTGTAGATGGTTGTTTCGGCGACGGATGGAAGAAGCAAGCTGCATGCAGGCATACATGTTTACGGCATCGTTGCTTTGCAGGTCATGTTTCAGCCAACATAAGCTAGCATCCTACGACTCCGTTGTGGCGGCGGCCATGCCAGTGCGGACCGAGAGTGAAGAGCTTCTTCATTTGGCATGCAGGACCTGCATCTCGGCGACTGATGAAGTTCTTTTTCTACAGAATGCACATAAATGTCACTAGATTAGACCGAACATCTTCGTTCTGCATGGAACCTCTTGTAAGATGGTAGCACACTTGCTGACAACGAAACCAACTTGCTGGCACTAAGCCATCAAAGTCTCCCAGGCAGGAGGTATTCAGCTTTCTAGGTCGCAGCATACCAGAATCCAACCAATACATCGCAATGGCCCGCCTGCTCGGCCAATGCTAGGGCGTCGTGCAGGTTTGTCTATCTGCTACGGAGATTCAACTTGTGCCTTGAAGCTACGAGTAGACTGGTCGGGCATCTGCCTTCTCTGTGTGTAGGAGTTGACTGGGGCGAAGCCAAACAGCACAACGAGCGTCTTCTTGCTTGTGCTCGTAGATTACAAAGCGCCTGGTTGTCTACGCAAACCGGGACACTGGGATTCTGGAACATGAAAATAATCTTTCTTCGATACACAGATCCTGCGCGCAAGGAGCCAGATGCAGTGCAAGCAGCTTTCGAATGCGTCAAGGAGGTAGGACGTAAAGATGCAGCAAGAGAGTACGGGTGCATGGCTGATCGGATATGTAGTCTGCAGCATGATCACGTGATCGAGATGATGGATGAGCGAACCACATGAATCGCAGCACTTTTTCGAAGACCTGTTTTCAAAGCCTTCGGAGCCCTACGAGACGGTCTTTGCTGCAGCTGTACCACTGAGACTTGAGATGCAAAGAACCACAGGAAGGCCGGCTTCGGCACTCGTGACTGGAGAAAAGGCCGGGCCCCCTAGGCCACCTCGCTGCGTGGCACTGCGTGGTTGTGTTGCGCCCAAGTGGAGCAAAGCCGATCCAGTTTAAGGCAGCGGTGGGATGCAGAGTGGCTGAGTGGCACATCATTGCCAAACAGTGCCCTCAGTTCTCCTCACCTCAGCAGCAGGTAACCCAGTGTGGGCGGGGCGGGGGGGGGGGGGG